TAAACACCAAGGAGTTAGCGAATAAGATGGAAATACGACATTTCCAAATGAAGAAGAAAGTCCAAAAGAAAAAAAACGGAATATTACAAGCGTGCGTGTCTGGTGTTAAACACTGAGTTGATTTCACAAAATAAAATATTAGCCATGAAACTTTGGCTGCCCCTTTGGTGCAATGCAGTTTAAAAAAAAAACAAAAAAAACCTTAACTGGACCATAGTTGACATTGAGCGGATGGATGTCAAAATGAGAAAGCTACTCACTTGCCACCGCGTGTTGATCATCTGTATGCGCCCATATCCGAAGGAAGAAGAGGATTAGTTCAACTATAACTGTTTTCACAAAACTACAACAATCGTTCTTTAAAGGAACCAAGAAACTACAAAATACTGGATAATTATCTGTACTAAAGAACATGAAAGAAATGGGAAACATTATTCATTAATAAAAGGAAGACAACAAATTGAAAATTGAATTTTAGGTGGATAAAGAAACCATTATACATCTACTGCAGCGGAAAAGAACCTAAAAGAAGCAAAAGCAAATGCAATGTGCCAAATGCAAAAACGATGGCGGGAAAGATAAGCCTCTTGGTGTTCAATACTCTGCCCATAGCAAATAAGATAATCTAGATAAACCCTATAACCATCAGTGGTTACCTTGGTGCAGAATTAAAAGCTGAACCTGAAGGTCAATATTCTATTGCACAGGACAACTTTTTGCTAACCAGAAATTACCAAGCAAACACACTAAAAATTACTGTTGACCCAAAATGCAGATTCTGGGATAAATATTCAGAAATAATTCGCTAACTTATATCAGGTTTCACGTTATTAGCATCCACCGAATAAAAAAAGTTGGCATGAGAGGGTAGACCAATATCTGCACTGGAAAATATGCGACTTTTACGGGAAGGAAACTGCAAGAACATCAGACCCGGTTACAGAAATATGACCTGTAACAGTTTTATGAGATTTTACAATACACACAGACAGAACAACCAAAGCTAATCTTCCATTTACAGTGATCAAAGACTACCAAAAAAGAATGTGCTTTCGTATTGACATGGCAACTCTTGGAGACTGTAATGTATCTCTGAAGATCTTTAAAAACCTATCAAATTACAAGGATCATGAAAGAGAAATATCAAAAATGTTTCACATGAAGACATCAATAAATCCAGTTGTGGTTGCAGTCGTCGGTTCGATTGGAAAAGGTTGGGGGGGGGAGATTCAGTGAAGGAATCCCTAGTAGACCAATGCCTTAAAAAAGACAATAAATTGTTCTCGAAAGTAAAGCTAAAAATGTACGAAGAGCTTTATTAATGTAAAATGCGTGTAATTAGGGGTCAAAAATATTCATTGAAAATGTAATGATGCCATTTCTCACCTTAGGTCACTGTTTGGGAACCGGAAGGAAATAAGTACACAACAGACATCAAAGAAAATAAATAAATAAATAAATAATAATAATAATAATAATGTAATATTTATAATTGGAATATCACCTGCGAAACTGAAAAAAGGTGCTTAGGAGAACTGGGACTGAGACTAAGAAAATAGACCTCTATAAAATTGCCTTCATTTACTCTCCGAAAAGTTCTTGAGTTGCGTGAAGTTTTGTTGACACTATAACTCAAGAACAGAATTTCTATTGAATGTGCGTCACCAGTATCATAATAATAATATTTTGAATTTATTTCATACTATATATATATATATATATATATATATATATATATATATATATATATATAATTTTTCTTCTTATGGAGAAATGTCAATAGAGTTATTTAAATTGAATGACTAAATAAATTATGACACAAGCGATAAACGATTCTTGCGACTTTTGCAGACTGATAAGAGTGGGCAAAACAACGTGCTGTGAGGTAAATGTATAAATATTAATAATCAAGACAAATATGTTACGACAGAAGAAAATTAAACCTTAAATAAATACACACCATCACAGTGTTATGAACGTTGATAAGACTTTCATATATTAACATGATAAATATGCCGAGAGAATTTTAGCTTGTAATGTTTATTTTATAAGAAGTATTTACATTAAATTATTTTGGGATGGAAGATTTAATTACACAACTGGTGAACTATTCACCATCGTATAAAAATAACGGACAGTTACGATACAACTCAAGCGTCAGAGCACTGGGCCAGCGGGCCTCGATGACGAAGAGGAAACTAACTAGAATCAATACAAATGTTCGGACTATTCTGCTGTCATATTCTCCGGCCTTCTTCAAGTGATTGGAATTTCGAACAAAATTCTTTATTTCGTCCACCGGTGTGCATTGTTTTAGTTTCACGTGCCATGCCTCTTCAGGATATTTCCGTTTTAGTTATTTTCCTTTATTAACTCAACTCTCCAAGTTTCTGTTTTTCTTAATAGTAAGATTAAGTGGTCCATTTCACTACGAGATTTTTGTTCCAATGTCCTGTGTAAAATATCTATGTAAGCGTTTTTGATTTTTTGTGCATATGTACATTTAAACTTTCTTTTATTAATTTTAATTTAAGTGATCTAATTGTACGTTAATCTCCTTTTCATTTCAACTCATGGGATATAGAGAAGATTTGATATTCTTGTAAGTCCTCCCTGGCCTGGATGGGGTTTACAGCCTTATTCAGCAACTTTCCTAAAGATAGTGTCGCGATAACGAACGCCCAGCTTCCTGTGCTGTGAACAGGTTAATAGGAGTAGATAGGTTCATCTATCACTCGGTCAGTACTTCTTTCATTGTTTCTTATTTAGGATATGGTTTATCGGTTCTTTCTTCCTCCATGGCTATAATAATTTAACTGTCTTAACGTGTGATCTGACTGATCAGTGGCTGCACCGCTACCTTATGAGTGGTACCGGGTTGGCTGATTTCTGGTTGCTACATCCATGTGGTAGTAAAAAGTAAGGATGCCGATCTTTTTGGTAGCACTTAGAGAGACTGCTCTTATCAACAGTTGCATAATATCGGGGTATTTGTAGTGCCATGCCGCACATGGGTAGGTGTCTATGTATTCGGTGAGCAACTCTGAGGTCCTATCATGCTTTAGTCTTTGCCAATTTTATTGCCATTGACGATAGATAATGATAATTATTTTGTTTTTTTTTTCTTCTTAAAAATTCTTCTCACGACTGATACCACGATAATAAAAGTAATAAAAAAGCAATAAAAGTAATGAAGTAAACAAACGATCACCAAAAACTTTTCTTTCTCCAATATTTGTGGAATAAGAATATTGTCGTGTATAATCATATCTCTAGAAAAATTCTCCAGACATCTTCGCACTTTGCAAAACTAATTTAAAATCTTTTATGGTTACCAAGTAATTTTCTGTTCCAGGAAGTTTTCCTCTTTGTCAAAAAGATTCTAAGAAAAATATGCCTTAGTGGTTGTATCCGGGAAAAAAACTTCCAATTGAAAATCACAATGTTCTTGGTTCACACCGGTTTGTTCAGCCACTATAACCCACAGGAATCACTATTCCAGTGTTATAGTTACGATCACAACAGACGTTTATTTGTATCTGCTCGTAATGGTTGGAAACGTGTCTTTAAAGAAGCTAAGTCTTTGTTTGCTTTGATAGAATAAGGCACTGCACAGCCTCTAACATGATTGACTCTAGTGATTACTGGCAGCACTGTGTTAGTGTTTTAATTAAGAATAATTCTTCTATTCTTCATTCAATTTAAGGTTTTAACATCTGCTGATAAAGCGGAATGGTTGACAATTTCTGCTCAAATTCTACTATTGATTCATCTTAACATTTCACTTCCCTGTTCAGTGATATGCATATAGCTCGGTTCATCATTTCAAAAATAGATTCCTTGAAAGAATGCGGACTATGATATTCTTGCAATAGTTCTTAGGGAAGGTTCTCTGAAATGACTTTTGGTATCTGTAAACTTTGCAATAAATACTTTGCTGTTTCTTGCTTTCCTGCTTGTTGCACGTCCTCTTCTATAGCTCCAGAGTCTTTAGAACTCAGGCGAACTGACATATTAGCTTTCTATATTTATTTAGCAAAGTACTAGATGCTCTACTCAACTCCGAATTGGTTAAGTATCTCAAATCGCAACGTCTTCTTTCAGATAATCAATTTGGTTTTCGCTTCTCTAGTTCAACTAATGATATATTAACGATTACTGCTGAAAGAATCTATTGAGCTTTGGATAAGAACAGTGAAATTCGGTCTATTGCTTTGGACACATCTCGAACGTGTTTCATGTGGTTTGTCATACTGGTCTTCTTCACAAGTTGACTGGTTATGATTTGGGATGAATTTTCGAACAGATTTATCTTTCTTATCAAATCGCGAAATGAAAATTGTCTTGAAAGGCCATTCTTCTTAATATTTCTCCTTAATCCAAAGAAGAATCAGCAATATTATTGGTCCTGACCTGGCATCTCGTCTTCAGTCACTTTCCGATCGCTGTGATGTAAGTTTCCTTTGCGTTTTCTAGAAATACATTCATGGTAATCCTGCTCTATGGTACATATAGTCTATGGATATAAGCGCGGTACTAGATTGGTGGCAAGGTCTTATGATTTTAAACTTGAAATCGCTAGATGCAACCGTAAGTTCTATGCTAACAGTTTCTTTTTTCGCACTTCTACATTGTGCTGCTTTCTTCTGGCTTCTTACTTCCCAGTCAACTTTGAAAAATTAAAATACAATGTAAATCATTACATTATGTCTTTTTAACTTTTTCTTCTTTTATTGTTCTCTCTCCTTCATATTTATTTTTTCTCATCTGTATCACTCAGTAATCCCCTTGCGTCTTAGTAGCTTTCTTGCCTTGCATCGGCTGAAATGAGTAAAAGCAAAAAGTAATAACATACATATTCGTTTACTTTATTTCTTTTACTTTCAAGAAAGTATTATTCATTATTTGCTTCCTTCCTTCCTTCCTTCCTTCCTTCTTTCCTTCCTTCTCTACTTTGGTTCAAGGAAGAAAAAAGAAATGAAGAACATTTTCTTATTTTAATGCTGTATTTTACAACATTGTTTGTTTGTTTGTTTGTTTCTTTCTTTCTTCCTTCCTTTTTTCTTTCTTTCTTTTTTCTTTCTTTCTTTCTTCCTTCCTTTCTTTCTTTCCTTCCTTCTCTACTTTGTTTCAAGGAAGAAAACAAAAGAAATGAAGAACATTTTCTCATTTTAATGCTGTGTTTACAACTTTGTTTGTTTGTTTGTTTCTTTCTTTCTTCCTTTTTTTTTTCTTTCTTTTTCTTTTTTTTCTTTCTTCCTTCCTTTCTTTCTTTCCTTCCTTCTCTACTTTGTTTCAAGGAAGAAAACAAAAGAAATGAAGAACATTTTCTCATTTTAATGCTGTATTTTACAACATTGTTTGTTTGTTTGTTTCTTTCTTTCTTTCTTCCTTCCTTTTTTCTTTCTTTCTTTTTTCTTTCTTTTTCTTTCTTCTTCCTTTCTTTTCTTTCCTTCCTTCTCTACTTTGTTTCAAGGAAGAAAACAAAGAAATGAAGAACATTTTCATTTAATGCTGTGTTTTACAACTTTGTTTGTTTGTTTATTTGTTTCTTTCTTTCTTCCTTCCTTTTTCTTTCTTTCTTTTTCTTTTTTTCTTCCTTCCTTTCTTTCCTTCCTTCTCTACTTTGTTTCAAGGAAGAAAACAAAAGAAATGAAGAACATTTTCTCATTTTAATGCTGTATTTTACAACATTGTTTGTTTGTTTGTTTGTTTCTTTCTTTCTTCCTTCCTTTTTTCTTTCTTTCTTTTTTCTTTCTTTCTTTCTTCCTTCCTTTCTTTCTTTCCTTCCTTCTCTACTTTGTTTTAAAGAAAACAAATAAATGAAGAACATTTTTCATTTTAATGCTGTGTTTTACAACTTTGTTTTTTTTGTTTGTTTGTTTGTTTTCTTTCTTCCTTTTTTTTCTTTCTTTTTTTTCTTTCTTTCTTTCTTCCTTCCTTTCTTTTCTTTTCCTTCCTTCTCCTTTGTTTCAAGGGAAGAAAACAAAAAAATGAAGAACATTTCTCATTTTAATGCTGTGTTTTGCAACATTGTTTTGTTTGTTTGTTTGTTTCTTTCTTCCTTCCTTTTTCTTTCTTTCTTTTTTCTTTTTTTTCTTCCTTCCTTTCTTTCTTTCCTTTCTTTCTCTACTTTGTTTCAAGGAAGAAAAAAAGAAACAAAGAACATTTTTCATTTTAATGCTGTGTTTTTGCAACATTGTTTGTTTGTTTGTTTCTTTCTTTCTTCCTTCCTTTTTTCTTTCTTTCTTTTTTCTTTCTTTCTTTCTTCCTTCCTTTCTTTCTTTCCTTCCTTCTCTACTTTGTTTCAAGGAAGAAAACAAAAGAAATGAAGAACATTTTCTCATTTTAATGCTGTGTTTTTAACTTTGTTTGTTTGTTTTTTTCTTTCTTTCTTTCTTCCTTCCTTTTTCTTTTCTTTTTTTTTCTTTCTTTCTTTCTTCCTTCCTTTCTTTCTTTCCTTCCTTCTCAGGCTTTGTTTCAAGGAAGAAAACAAAGAAATGAAGAACATTTTCTCATTTTAATGCTGTGTTTTACAAGGGAATTTTGTTTGTTTGTTTGTTTCTTTTCTTTCTTCCTTCCTTTTTCTTTCTTTCTTTTATCTTTTTTCTTTCTTCCTTCCTTTCTTTTCTTTCCTTCCTTCTCTACTTTTGTTTCAAGGAAGAAAACAAAAGAAATGAAGAACATTTTTCATTTTTTTAATGCTGTGTTTTGCAACATTGTTTGTTTGTTTGTTTCTTTCTTTCTTCCTTCCTTTTTTCTTTCTTTCTTTTTTCTTTCTTTCTTTCTTCCTTCCTTTCTTTCTTTCCTTCCTTCTCTACTTTGTTTCAAGGAAGAAAACAAAAGAAATGAAGAACATTTTCTCATTTTAATGCTGTGTTTTGCAACTTTGTTTGTTTGTTTGTTTGTTTCTTTCTTTCTTCCTTCCTTTTTTCTTTCTTTCTTTTTTCTTTCTTTCTTTCTTCCTTCCTTTCTTTCTTTCCTTCCTTCTCTACTTTGGTTCAAGGAAGAAAACAAAAAAAATGAAGAACATTTTCTCATTTTAATGCTGTATTTTACAACATTGTTTGTTTGTTTGTTTCTTTCTTTCTTTCTTCCTTCCTTTTTTCTTTCTTTCTTTTTTCTTTCTTTCTTTCTTCCTTCCTTTCTTTCTTTCCTTCCTTCTCTACTTTGTTTCAAGGAAGAAAACAAAAGAAATGAAGAACATTTTCTCATTTTAATGCTGTGTTTTGCAACTTTGTTTGTTTGTTTGTTTCTTTCTTTCTTTCTTCCTTCCTTTTTTCTTTCTTTCTTTTTTCTTTCTTTCTTTCTTCCTTCCTTTCTTTCTTTCCTTCCTTCTCTACTTTGTTTCACGGAAGAAAACAAAAGAAATGAAGAACATTTTCTCATTTTAATGCTGTATTTTACAACATTGTTTGTTTGTTTGTTTGTTTCTTTCTTTCTTCCTTCCTTTTTCTTTCTTTCTTTTTTCTTTCTTTCTTTCTTCTTTTTTGATTTCCTTCCTTCTCTACTTTGGTTCAAGGAAGAAAACAAAAGAAATGAAGAACATTTTCTTATTTTAATGCTGTATTGGAATAACATTGTTTGTTTGTTTGTTTCTTTCTTTCTTTCTTCCTTCCTTTCTTTCTTTCCTTCCTTGTCTACTTTTGTTTCACGGAAGAAAAGTAAAAAAATGAAGAACATTTTCTTATTTTAATGCTGTATTTTACAACATTGTTTGTTTGTTTGTTTGTTTGTTTCTTTCTTCCTTCCTTTTTTCTTTCTATCTTTTTTCTTTCTTTCTTTCTTCCTTCCTTTCTTTCTTTCCTTCCTTCTCTACTTTGTTTCACGGAAGAAAACAAAAAGAAATGAAGAACATTTTCTCATTTTAATGCTGTGTTTTTACAACATTGTTTGTTTGTTTGTTTGTTTGTTTGTTTCTTCCTTCCTTTTTTTCTTTCTTTTTCTTTCTTTCTTTCTTCCAGCCTTTCTTTCTTTCCTTCCTTCTCTACTTCCTTTTCAAGGAAAAAACAAATGAAGAACATTTTCTCATTTTAATGCTGTGTTTTGCAACTTTGTTTGTTTGTTTGTTTCTTTTTTCTTTCTTCCTTCCTTTTTCTTTTTCTTTTTTTTTTCTTTCTTTCTTTCTTCCTTTCTTTTTTTCTTTCCTTCCTTCTCTGCTTTTGTTTCACGGAAGAAAACAAAAGAAATGAAGAACATTTTCATTTTAATGCTGTATTTTTACAACATTGTTTGTTTGTTTGTTTTTTTCTTTCTTTCTTCCTTCCTTTTTCTTTCTTTTCTTTTTGTTTTTTCTTTCTTTCTTCCTTCCTTTCTTTCTTTCCTTCCTTCTCTTTTTCAAGGAAGAAAACAAAAGAAATGAAGAACATTTTCTCATTTTAATGCTGTATTTTACAACATTGTTTGTTTGTTTGTTTCTTTCTTTCTTTCTTCCTTCCTTTCTTTCTTTCCTTCCTTCTCTACTTTGTTTCACGGAAGAAAACAAAAGAAATGAAGAACATTTTCTTATTTTAATGCTGTATTTTACAACATTGTTTGTTTGTTTTTGTTTGTTTGTTTTCTTTCTTTTCTTTCTTTTTTTTTCTTTCTTTTTTTTTCTTTCTTTTTTCTTCCTTCCTTTTTTCTTTCCTTCCTTCTCTACTTTGTTTCAAGGAAGAAAAAAAAAAATGAAGAACATTTTCTTATTTTAATGCTGTATTTTACAACATTGTTTGTTTGTTTGTTTCTTTTCTTTCTTTTCTTCCTTCCTTTTCTTTCTTTCCTTCCTTTTTTTTTCTTTGTTTCACGGAAGAAAACAAAAGAAATGAAGAACATTTTCTTATTTTAATGCTGTATTTTACAAATTGTTTGTTTGTTTGTTTTTTCTTTTTTCTTTCCTTCCTTTTTCTTTCTTTCTTTTTCTTTTTTTTCTTCCTTCCTTCCTTTCTTTCTTTCCTTCCCTTCTCTTTTGAAGAAAAAAAAAGAAATGAAGAACATTTTTCATTTTAATGCTGTATTTTACAACTTTGTTTTGTTTGTTTGTTTGTTTTTCTTTCTTTTTCTTCCTTCCTTTCTTTCCTTCCTTCCTTCTCTTGTTTTTTCCGGAAAAAAAGAAATGAAGAACATTTTCTTATTTTAATGCTGTATTTACAACATTGTTTGTTTGTTTGTTTGTTTTTTCTTTCTTTCTTTCTTCCTTTTTTTCTTTCTTTCTTTTTTTTTTCTTTCTTTTCTTTCTTCCTTCCTTTCTTTCTTTCCTTCCTTCTCTACTTTGTTTCAAGGAAGAAAACAAAAGAAATGAAGAACATTTTCTTATTTTAATGCTGTATTTTACAACATTGTTTGTTTGTTTGTTTCTTTCTTTCTTTCTTCCTTCCTTTCTTTCTTTCCTTCCTTCTCTACTTTGTTTCACGGAAGAAAACAAAAGAAATGAAGAACATTTTCTTATTTTAATGCTGTGTTTTACAACATTGTTTGTTTGTTTGTTTGTTTGTTTCTTTCTTTCTTTCTCCCACTGTTGTTCATTTAAAACTATGATCAATAAAATTGTTTACTCTATATTGATTTTTCCCGATTTCAGTGGAATTTAGTGGGATTTATTTCCAAAGTTCTTTGTTTCTTGTAAATCTACCAAATGACAGGGAAGACTCCCTGCCCCTCCCTCTCTATCTCTCACACGCACACGCACAAATATGCACACTCAAAGACGCACACAAACACAAGCACACACACATAAACCCAGATGCACATATATGCACACCAATGCACACACAGAAATATATATATATATATATATATATATATATAAAATATCAAACGTAATATGAGGGAAATCTAATGCTTTAATTTTCTATTTTTGGCAATAATATTTATTCGATGTCATAAACATTTTCTTTATCTTCATTGCAGCTTCGTTTTGCTTTTTTCTCCTGTCAGTCAATTTTTGTAAATCATTCTTGAGCAAATAATATATATATATATATATATATATATATATATATTTTCATAAATCCGTCCTCTGTTTCTTTATCTATCTATCTATCTATCTATCTATCTATCTATCTATCTGTGGATATGAGGTCAACACCGAGCGGCGACAGTCTGTTTCATCTTTAAACTCTATATTCATGTCAGAATATTGTGGTCAATATGAAAAAACACTGTCATTGCTCGGTGTTGACCTCAATGGCCACAATATATATATATATATATATATATATATATATATATATATATATATATATAGTTTATGCAAAACCAGGTAATCCGTATGAGTAGACCCAAGGAGGATGATATTTCACTTATATTTTAATTATGTTTTGATTTCTTTATTCATTATTATTTATTCTTATTGGCGTATAAATTTTATCTATTACTTTTATTTATATTTAATATTAATATTTCTTTTTGAATTTACTAATTACTTTAATTACCTGATTATATAATAATTTTATTTTAGATGTCAGTTTTTTGTCCTTCTTTAAATTTTTATAAAACAATCGTAAAAATCTTCTCTAAAATTAAAGAGTGAATTTCCTTATGCAATTGTTCATATTGAAACAAGATATCAATATTTTTAAATATGTGTCCAGGTTATTTTTTACTTGTGTCAAATTTCCAACTGTGTTTAAAGTCTAAACGGGTAACAACATCGCTAGCGTTTTTTTTTTATTTCCCACCCTTCTTCCCCCCACCCCGTCTCTATTTTGTTTTTCTCTTTCTTCAGCATTTTTTTCTCTTCCCTCACTTTAAATGTTTTTTTCTTACTTTGTCATCTTTCTTTTCCCCTTCCTGTTTCTTTGGTGTTGATAAAACTAGGAAGATTAATTTCTTGCGGGGTGAAATGGCCATATACATGTGGTATTTTTGAGTTTCATTTCATTTATATGTAATTTATATATATATATATATATATATATATATGTATATATATATATTTGTTATGTTTATACGTAATTTTTATAGATAAATGTTTTAAAATAATTGTCGGAATTTGTCCATTTCATAATGTGTGACGTCATTTGTTTACATTTGGATACGCATCTAGGAGATATGTATGTACGAGAGAAAATCATTGAGAATTGTAGTTTAAAAACAGTAAAATCGACATTGCTAACCGAACGCTCCTCTGGGGCTCAATCGGTAAAAGAACGTCAGGCTATATGACGGTTCTGTATGGGATACAGGTTCGATTCCTGTTGGAAGACGAATATTTTCTATGAAAATTTCTCGGATATTCAGGCCGGTAAATGTCGTTAATACTGTTTATTATAAACAGAGCATTTACTTAAATATTTGTATCTATAAAAAGAACGTATAAACATAAAATGTCTTAAAATAGTTGTCGGACTTTGTCCATTTTATAATATATATATATATATATATATATATATATATATATATATATATATATATATTTGTGTGTGTGTGAGTTTGTGTGTGTGTGTCCGTGAATGAACATATGTCGTAGAAAGGCAGAAATAGTTCAGTCTCCCTTTTTATACTGCTTGTATTAACTGTATTATATATTTTGATATTACTATTTTTATTATAAAATATATATACACACACATATATATACATGTGTGTGTATGCGTGCATGTGTGTATAGTATAATATATATATATATATATACACACACACACATATATATATGCATGTGTGTGTATAGTATGAAATATACATACACACACATACATATATAGATGTGTGTATGCGTGCATGTGTGTGTGCATGTGTCGTGTTTAATTTTATAGACTTCGCATACTCTATTTTGCATACAATGATTGACATTTTCTATTACACTATATATTGTCATTATATACATTTATATTGTTTTATAGTTTTATTCCTTAAATATGCTAGACTCTTTCTTCTGGACGACATTGAATTATTATTCAACAAAATGTACATCCTCTTTTCGATGTCCTTTATTTCATCGGAGTTAAAACTTATATGAATCCTACCGCATCATTTCAAGTAGTATACCTACAATGGTAATGAGTGAAATTAAAATATATTTCCGAAATTTGATTGTGAAAGATTGTGAATTGTACAAATTTATACTTGGCATAAAATCAAGAGAAACAATTCAACGAATAGATAGAGCGAGGGGTTAATGATAGAGAGAAAAGTGTTCAGGCGTTTTTCAGTTTTAAATGCATCACTCATAGAGACATCTTTTTAAAGATGGCCGTCTGTAGTTGACAATGAAGCAATGAGGATATGCGTTGATTTTAATCAACTTCAAATATATCAAGTGATTAGCTTAAGTTTCAACACTCACAAATCTTGCCGGAAAAATATATTGAGAATTGATGAAAAATACTTTCCTGATTAATTTTTTTGTCTTTACATTTTTTTCAATAAAAAAATCACGAACGCTTACTGGTTCCAAGATTATATATATATATATATTATATATATATATATATATATATATAGAGAGAGAGAGAGAGAGAGAGGGTGAGAGATTCTTTTTTGCCTTCCAAATTAATTTTTCATTCAGAGGCAAAATTTGTATTTAGTATTATTCTGCATATCATATCTATATTGTTACAAGCACGCATACACACTCACTTACAGACACACACACACACTATATATATATATATATATATATATATATATATATATATAGAGAGAGAGAGAGAGAGAGAGAGAGAGAGACAGAGAGAGAGGGGAGATTTTTTTGCCTTGCAAATTAATTTTTATTCA